TTTAATTTCAACAGTCGCTCTATAACAAACGCTAGAACGTCTCACGTGCTCGTGCTCGACAATACTCAATTACACACTCTCTGACTGCAGTTCAATTACTCATTACCTACACATTGTCCCGTCACATTGTGACCATCCTATATATACCAGACTACCCCCAATCTAGTAATCTCCCGACAATTCACGAAGGTTCGAGAAGGAAGTGGCGTGATACTAGTCATGTGACCTCGCTGACGCAACATCATTTTTGTTCTGTGATAAAAACTTTCTGACCAATCTGACCCCTTCTGAGTTCAGAATACACAACTTCTGTCTTCCCTCCACGGCTATCTATAAGTAAGTAATTTAGGACATTTTGATGAAAAGTTTAGAAAAAAATGGCCTTTACATTCCTTATATATATAATATAGTTATCTATTTACTTTAACCAACTTTTCGCCTTTGCAGCTTTATTAGGGATAATATACACAACTTGTTAATATACAACACTTGAATTGTGTATATTAACCCAGATGAAGCCGCGAAGGCGAAACGTTGGTTTAAAAAAATCGTTTATATATATCTGGAATGTAAAGGTCGTTTTATCTAATTTTTTTATCAAAATGTGTAAATCCTCTTCTATGCATTACAAATTTTGAAAGTAGTTTAAGAGGGAAAGTATCTTTTATAAAGTTTTATTTGTAATTACAGATTTAATGAAGATATAGTGATGAATGTTTATTGGAAACCATATACACATATGGGTCCATATTGTGTTGGTATCATCGTAGGCTATTTAATCTTACATCATCGGAATGTCGTTATTAGACCGGTAAGTGCGAACATTTTCATCAGTTAATATGTTTTTAGTTTTGTTTTTGGTCTCTGCCAAGCTTTACCGATACACACATATCTAATCTCTGGTAGAGAGATCAAACAAAATCGGGCAGGAGTAAGAACTGCAACAACATTTTAACTAGGTTATCTAGAAATAGGCCTAGCTGTGTATGGGTATATAAACAGAAACGAAGGTGATGTAGTAGGCCTAGCTGTGTAAAAGCTTATAAAGAAGAGCAATAATATTATTCATTTCCATGTGAACATGCTCTCCATTATCATTATTATAGCACCAGTTGTAACGACTAGTGTTGAACTACAGACCTGATTAATATATTATTTAAAGAAATACAGTCTTGACAATCATAAAAAAATACAGTTCCTTATAAGGAAAGCTGTCAGAAGCATTAGGTAGACTGGTAGTAAAAATGCTTTGCTTATTATTTGCCCTCTGTTGACAAAATATGAAAGTACAACTTTTGCGATAATTCTTATAATCATTAACTAGATAATTAATGTTTCCAGAATATTTCTTATACTACGGACGTACAAAGCAATAAGCAAAAGGATTTCTAGTTATATTGTTTGTGATATATGTTATGATAAAGCACATCGAATCTAAAGCTGTGATGACTCCTGTTTATACAGCATTCTGGAATCTGATTCTGTGATTAATTCTGTCGGTAAAGCAGACCACATTCTAAATCTGTGATTATTTTAGTTGATAAATCACATTGAAACTTAAATCTGTGATTATTTTTGTTGGTAAAGCAAATTAAAATCTAAATCTGTGATTATTTCTGTTGGTAAGGTAAACTGAAATCTAAATCTGTGATTATTTCTGTTGGTAAGGTAAACTGAAATCTAAATCTGTGATAATTTATGTTGGTAAGGTAAACTGAAATCTAAATCTGTGATTATTTCTGTCGGTAAGGTAAACTGAAATCTAAATCTGTTACTATTTCTGTTGGTAAGGTAAACTGAAATCTAAATCTGTGATTATTTATGTTGGTAAGGTAAACTGAAATCTAAATCTGTGATTATTTTTGTTGGTAAGGTAAACTGAAATCTAAATCTGTGATTATTTCTGTTGGTAAGGTAAACTGAAATCTAAATCTGTGATTATTTTGTTGGTAAAGCACACTAAAAGCTAAATTTGTGATTAATTTTGTTAGTAAAGCACATTAAAATCTAAATCTGTGATTATTTCTGTCGGTAACGCACATTAAAATCTAAATCTATTACTATTTCTGTCGGTAAGGTAAACTGAAATCTAAATCTGTGATTATTTCTGTCGGTAACGCACATTAAAATCTAAATCTGTGATTATTTCTGTCGGTAAGGTAAACTGAAATCTAAATCTGTTACTATTTCTGTTGGTAAGGTAAACTGAAATCTAAATCTGTGATTATTTGTGTTGGTAAAGCACACTACAACCTACATATACTGACGTCTGCATATAGTTAAGGTCTCATGAGTGGTCATATTTCTTCTAGACATTTACAAAATAATTTCGTAACACAACTTTGAGTAAATTTATAGGTTTGAAACATTGTTTCACACACAAACTGTATTAGAGTATCACTTCAAAAAACTTAGATGTGATGAAATAGTAATGAATAATTTATGAAACTATTTCTGATTATTTTATAGCTCCTACAGCTAATTTTCTGGATCATAGCTATAATCTGTAGTGTTTCGACTTTGTACGGTGCGTACGAGTTCAATAGGGGGAACCTCCCCCCACCTTGGGAAGCTGGCTTGTATGCTTCTCTCTTCCACACTACTTGGGCTATTGGGTTGGGCTGGATGACATTCGCCTGCACTTCTGGTAGAGGAGGTACGTACTTGATTTTCAAATAGTAATTTTTTCCAGTATGAAAGGCTTATGCCGAATGCGAATACTAACTTGACCTTTTTTTTTTTTTTTTTTTAGGAAAGGTAAATGTTGGAATTACCAATTACAGCAAGATTGTTTTCGTTAAAGGTTTAACCACATATTGTCTCAAAATTCAATCTTTCAATTAAGGGAAGTCCTCATTAGAACTCTGCGCGTGTGTGTAGTGGTAGTCTGAGATTCGATACTGTTTTTTTTTGTTGTTGTTGTTAGATTTTGTTGCTCATAATTAAATATTACGTGATCTTTAAATTAAGTTTAATCAACTCATTCCTCTCGTGGAAAGTGTTTTCGTTACAGGTTTAACCACATATTGTCTAAAAATTCAATCTTTCAATTAAGGAAAGTCCTCATTAGGACTCTGCGCGTGTGTGTAGTGGTAGTCTGAGATTCGATCCTGGGTCTTTTTTTGTTGTTGTTAGATTTTGTTGCTCATAATTAAATATTACGTGCTATTTAAATTAGGTTTAATCAACTCCTTCCTCTCGTGGAAAGTGTTTATACCCCTGGGACGACTGACATATTCGGCTTACTTGTGTCACTTTGTCATCTTCTGGATAAGAAACGGACTCCAGCGAGAACGACGAAACTTCAGTCACTTTGACCAAGTGAGTACAATGCGCTATCTGTTCTATTAATAATAATAAGCAATATCGTGTGTAGCAGTTAGTGAAAATCCACAGTAAATGCAATAAACTGTCAGAAGTAGAGATATTTCGACATATTCGAGCGCCCTCTTCAGTCTCACATTGACTTCAGACACTCGGAAGCTGAACAAACTTGAAAATAAAATATATATATAACGCTAAAATCGGGTTTCGGGATCACCAGTGGGCAGAGAACAGACAGTCTATTTATGTAGCTTTGTACTTAACAACATACAATCGTAATGACAATATTTCGATTACGTGGAGGCTTGGAATAATCGAAAATAGTAATAAACCGAAACCATAAGCCCCCCCCCCAGTGGCACAGCGGTATGTCTGTGGACTTACAACGATAGAATCCGTTGTGGGCAAAGCACAGATAGCCCATTGTATAGCTTTGTGCTTAATTACAAACAAACGAAACCATAATTTCGATTAGTTGATTATTTTCTCAAAAGTAATCGATTTAATCGGAATTTCGTTGTTGTTTTTTTTATATATAGCGAATTTCCACTTCTTCGAGTTTAAAGTTTCTTGCAGAAGCAATTATAACAAGAATGAACATTAAAATTCCAATTCGTTATACGTTATAGAATTAATTGTCAGAATTTTAAAACTATGTTTTGATCCTGTATAAGCCACACATAATGCTCTACCATACATTCTACGTGTTTAAATTCGTTTTTCTTTTGTTTTTTTCAGGCGTTCGACTATACGGGCTACCTTACTATGAGTATGCTCCTGTCTCTTTGTGTTTATCTGGCGTTTGAAGCGCCCTTTGTCGCCCTTGAAAAAATCATTTTTGTCCAGCGGCGTCAGCAACATCGGGATTCGAAAACAGAGAAAGATCCAGAAACACCCGGACTCACATTCGGTCCTTATCGGAAGAAAAACGATAAAAAAGCAGATATAGTTTTAAAAGAAATTAACCCTAAACACGATTCCAGTGAATGCCATTTAAATGGAATTGGCAACAATGGTTTCCTAAGGGATGAATAAATTGAAAGACCCGGATGCCATACATGAAAAATGCAGTTTGTATAATATAATATATATAATACAAACGCATTTCCTTAGTTATTGTTTTAATATAAACTGACAATGTAAATGAAATTTTCATTATTTTAGAGAAACATCCTTCTTTGATTTATTATGAAGTTATCTTCACTTGCTTTGGGGGAAAAACAGATATAACTGATACACTTATATCGTGATCCTGTAAATCTTTCTGATCATATATAAATATACAATGGGAAAATATGTAAATTCTATGATTATCTGGACATTAAAGAATTGTGATTTGACATGATTCTTTCATGTTATATTCATATTAAAAGAATATATTTGGCAAGCCCTGATCGCGTGAGAAATACCGTATTGCCCCTAATTATCCCTCCTGGAGTTTTATAAAGCTTACTTTGTGTGACAGCAATAGTAATCCAACATATAATCCACTTTTGTTACCGTAATTTTGATTTGAAAAAACAAAAAACACACACACACACACACACTTATTAGCATTGAAATAAATAAAATACATGTGGAAAATAGGATCACACGTGAAAAATAGAATCCAGAAGTACAAAAATACTATAATTAGCGCCTCCACTTTTGCAATTTGCAACGCCTCTGGTGGCATTAATTAGGGACAATACGGTATTGATTTTTTAACACACAACCAGTAACTACAACTGCACGCCGCAACACAGTTCTAAACATATACATATGCGTTAATATAACTTAAGGACAACAAGGGACCTGTAGGTTCATCTAATCCGTACCATCCAATATACTAAACTCCAATTTAAAAATAAAACACTCACAGCCAGCCCCTTATTATTCAAACATTTATCAAGCCTCCACCACACCTGAAGACAAGCCATTCCAAAGGTCAACCATCCTGTTAGAAAAATAATGTTCTCCTGGCTGAAGATGACTCCTACTCTGCCAAGATATATAGTTGTGCTCCATAGTTTTTACATTCTCACCATCAAGCACAAGAAAAAGATGATGTACGAACACTATCAGTTTACTTAACAATCTTAATCACATCAATCTGTACGAACACTATCAGTTTACTTAACAATCTTAATCACATCAATCTGTACGAACACTATCAGTTTACTTAACAATCTTAATCACATCAATCTGTACGAACACTATCAGTTTACTTAACAATCTTAATCACATCAATCTGTACGAACACTATCAGTTTACTTAACAATCTTGATCACATCAATCAGATATCTTCTACCTATTAATTTTTCAAAAGAAAACATTTTCAGATAATTTAACCTATCCTTGTATAGCGACCTTTCCATCCCAGGTATCGTCTTAGTAGCCCTTCTCTAAGCCCTTTCCAACAATTCAATATCCTTTTTAAGTTAAGGAATCCAACATTGAATACTGTACTTCAATTGTGAGGAGTAACCAATGACCTATAAAATAACATTACAGGCTCTTGGGATTTGTATTCAATATTTCTATAAATACAATCAAATCCTATTGGCCTTACAACAACCAAAAGCACATTGCTTTGATCATTTAAAAAGACTTAATAACCATAACTCCAAGATCTTTTTCTTCCATAACACTCTTAAGATTATTCTTATTGAAATTATACTTATAATTCAAATTGTGATAACCTACATGCATTACCTGACATTTTTATACTTAAAAGCCATTTATTCACCCAACTCACTAAATAATTTAAGTCATTTTATAAAGCAGCAGCGGCATCCCTCTCACAGCCAGTAACACCCAAAACTTTAATATCATCCGCAAATTTAAATAATTTATTCCTTCATCTAAGTTATTGATATAATTCAGAAAGAGCTAAAGTCCTAAGACTGAGCCCTGAGTCACTCCACTTGTGACATTAATCCAGTTTGACTGAACGCCATTTATAACAACCCTCTATTTTCTTCCATCCAGCCAGTTTTCTATCCAATGAGCCAACCTATCTCCCCCCGACCTACAGAAATAACTTTGTTAATCAGACTCTTATGTGACACCTTATCAAATGCTTTCTGAAAATCCAGATACACCAAATATACACCCTTACCCTTATTTACATAAGCAGTAACTTTTTAAAAGAATGTCAAGAAATAAGTAAGGCGAGATTTTCCTGAAGTGAAACCATGTTGACTATCCAGTAAAATTCTAAACTTTGTTAAATGACTTTGCAAAACATATTTTATCAAACGTTCAAAAACTTTTCCCACAACCGATGTAAGACTAATAGGTCTATGATTACTAGGACAAATTTTATCGCCTCACATGAAAAGAGAAGTAACATTAGCTAACTTTCAATTTTTTACCACCTATCCACTATTCAAGGACTTACATAAAATAGTAGCAAGTGGCTTACATATCCAGCCCTTAGCAACTTTCAATATCATTGGGTAAATGTACGTGTAATTTGTATCAACTCTGTATTTTGAACTAACGCGAACAATACCTCAACCTTAGTATTGTTGCGTCAGCGAGGTCACGTGATTAATATCACGCCATGTCCTTCTCGAACCTCGAGACGTAACAGTATGTAACAAATATATGATGAGCCATAAGTTAAACAACCCACAGAATAAGCGTTTAAACTCTACACCATATGAACGAAAACTAATGAATCGAGTAAACAGTGTATTATCTGTACGATGTAACAAACTTGTTCAAACTTTTAGTTCAGGAACTAGGATATTAAAAATTACGACCAATCACACGAATTAAGTTAATCATCTCAGTTGTTATCTATTACCATTTAAGTCTAGGTTGCTATTTTTACTTGTAAGTTCGCAGTGATCTGGAGATTCAATGTAATGCTACTCTATTGTTTTACCAAGCCATCATCTCTTATCTTCACTGTTTTCTGTATAAAATCAAACACGAAACATTAAATTGTTTAATGCCTACTTTGACCAAACAAGGCTGACGTTATTACATCAATTACGCGGTATATTCAAGCATGTTTTAAAAAATCCATTTTTTCTTACAGTGTAAAAAAGCTTCACTATTTTAATTTTTTATGGAACAATGAAGTATTCAATCCAAGAAAAACACTAAATTATCTCATCATTTTTTCGATTACGAAACTTTGAATGAGGGTGTTAATGTAAACATAATAAAGGTTATCTTAACGTCAGAAGGATACTGGAGTAAATGTAACAATGGATGAAGTTGGCAATGTTACGATATTTATATGGTAAACAAAAGAAGATCAGGAAACAATGTTTGTAAATAAAATCTAGTAGACATAACATTAAAACTAATAATTAACATTTCCATGAGAAAGCATTTATAACAAGATGGAAATAAACATGGAGATTAGAAGTAAATACGAATGACATTAAACAAATAGAGCTATTTTACGCTTGAATTTGATGAAAAACAAAGTTGAATACGTTATTATGTAAATTTCAATGTGTTTCATTGGTATTAGAAATCACAAGATACAGAATTATGTTGTAAAAATTTGTTTTAGACCCACAGAGTCATTCTAGAAATTGTTGACTTAATTACAATGATATTTACGTCTTTCATTTGTATTATTATTGTTATACTGCAATAAAGTTATTAGTAAGAATCTAAATACAAAATGTTTTATTTCTTCCCTTATCCTGTTATTCATATGTGATTATAATTTAAAAAGTATTTTTACGAACAAGGGTGTAGTGGAACCAAAAAGGAGTGGAGCGGCGCACCGACAACTTTTTCATTTCCACAGTATTCAGCTACTAATAATTAGAATAATTATTGTATGCATTTAAAACATTTACTCATTAGAATTTGTGATAAACTATATAGTAATAACAATAATAATTATGGACACATATTAGATCTGATTAGTGTACAATTTAAAAATACACTTCTGTCAATCAGTTTGTGTTCCTGTTTCGGTGGAGATTCCTTATTGACTACCCGTGCAAAGCGTTTCATTTTACCAGTACGCCTATTTTTTTATATTCAATATCAGTATTAAATGGATATCAGAATTTTAAGCCAATGACAATCGGAATTCAGCACAGCGTTTATTACTGTTTTATATAACAAGTGGCAGGACTCTGTTATGTGTATTCCTTGAAAATCAGGATAAGTAGATATTAAGTTATGGTTGAGCTTTAACATATACACTGATGTGGAACGTGAACATCAACATCTTACGTCAGCCCATGACTTGTTAAAATTATTCTCAACTGTCCCAAGTAGAATTGTCAAACAAACGTACAAAAACACAACAACAACAAAAAACGAGCATAACAAAAAAAAAGCTTATTAAGTTCATTTGGTGATAACTTAGGTCTTATGTTTTGTATTAGTTATTTTAATATATTTGTACTTCGGTTAAATGATAAAGGACCGTAACTATTAGACAGTTATTCCAAAAGTAAGAGTATGAATTATCATAAATGCCACTGATCATTGGGATAGCTCCACAACTTTTTAACCACTGCAGCTTTGCCTAAGAAATACGATAACTATAATTAATTCTCTGTAAAAGTCCCCCACCCTCCCAGTGGATCAGCGGTAAGAGTAAGCCTGGGAGCGTACACTGCTAAAAACCGGGTTTCGATACTCCATTGTGTAGCTCTGTGCTTAACTATAAAGAAAACAAAAAGAAGTTGGCGTTCAAATGCTATCCTAAATAACCATAAAACTATTATATCTGGCAATATTAATTGACCGAAGTAATCTAGTTATACCAGATTTGTTTCTTTTTTATGAATATTGTAATTATTTTAGAGCAAAAGTGAATTACAAAGCAAAGCGTGTTTCGCTGTTCGTTAGCAAAGTCTTAAGACTAAGACTGTTTTGAAAGCATTCTTTCCGATGTACAATTTTACGATCTTAATTTGTGCTTCTTGCTTTAAACTTAAAATGCAGACAATCAAATAAAAATTCGTGGAGAATCTCATGAATTTCCAGAATTCAAGAAATTCAGCATGTTGACTAGCTTATATATGATGCCCGTGAACCATGAATTAATAGCATAATTATAAATTTTTATGTGTAAAATATTTATGCCTACCATCAATCGAATAACGAATTGAACTTATCAAATACAGAATATAATCCTTATTTTGTCTAAGTTGCCTTTTAATTCGAGAAGAACATATAAAAGGACGTTTTAGGTACCATATTTTTAAGATTATCTGTAGAAGAAGATCACCTAGATTTTATCGATCGAAGTGCAGAAGTATTGCAGTTGGGTGGAGTACTCTCTATCTTGAGTCTTGGACTCCACATTTCTGCCGACAGAGGGTTTCTCTAGAAAAAGCGACAGAGTGTTGCAGTATGCTAATAATATCTCGCCAACCAAAATAGCCAGAAAATACTCTTCCTAGGGCGTGTGTCGACAGGAGAAAATTTTCGGCGTATAGTGTTCTGTTCCGGGTAAGATTATTTGTTATTTATTTATAATTTTTGGAAGAATATCGTGAATTGTCACAAACTAGAACATGAATATAATTTTAAATTTGAAACTGAACAGTAAAGTTCTTCCCATCGTTTTAAAATTTATTTTACGTAGCCTAATTCAGAAATAGGACATGGTTGTAATAAATTACCAAACACTTGTAAAAAAAGGAAGAAAAAAGTTGACTCATAATATCATTTAGTTTTATCATCAGAGCTAAAACTGTAATATTATCTACGTAATTCTTGTCTACCATTGATGCGTTGATTTTAATGAATAAATCATTAAATGCTAATTTCAATCTTAAAATGCAGACGAAATTTATAAAATTAAAAAATACAACTTAAACAATGTGTTCTAATGTCATGTAAAATATTTCTATGTTGAGCTAAAGTAAAGCATATTTAAAAAATTCAACATAAATATCACTGACTGTCACTGTACTCTGTAGTGTGTTGATTGGAAGATGTAGAATATATAACTACTACTTCTACTGACGTAGGTAAGTACTTGTTTTGTAGGAAAACAGATTTCAATTTTGATGATTAACGTAAACATATAACTGTTAGCGGCAGACAGTTATAAATAATTCCAGTTTAAGTTAAATGAGTTGATAGTGGTAAATGCTAACTGAATCATGAACGACAGTGAACAGTGACTTGCTGTGAATTTTCTTTTATTTGATGATGATAATGTTTTATTATTTCTTTTAGAATCGTGTTAATTATATATAATAGTACTTTTAGCAAACTGTGATAAAATTATTGGTTTCTATAACCACAAAAAAATCAATTGCATTATGCTAAGTAATAACTAATATATTATTTTCCTTGTATAACAGACAGTCTCTACAGTGAAGCCTGCTAAGAAAACATTGTTAATGATTTTTATAAAAAAAACCTGGAAAACACTTATGGGTTTAAAGTGACACATTTGTTCACACTGTCACACCTTTTTAATAGAAAATGGAAGAGAGTATAAATATTTTGAATTCTATTGTTTTGTAAATTAAAAGGGAGAAAAATTTATGTATATAAAGAGATATATCTTTTGAAATAGTTATAAAAAGATAATGAAAATGTTAAAGGAAATTCATATGTTTAAAAAATAATTATTTAGCTTTTATGATTGTTTGCCCCATGTTGTTTAACAAATGACTTGTTTTTCAGATTTTCTTAATAAATACTGAAAAAAATGGAAAGGGGTTCAGAGAAAGGGTACAAGAATTATTTCAGGAATGGAAGGGTTATCTTATAAGGATAGGTTAAGATTTCCTAACCTGTTTCCTCTTGAGATTGAAAGGATAAAGTCCTATCATTCTTTTGTGTTGTATTCTGAAGATGAGAACAGAAGTTTAATTTGGAATAGATAGGCTAGGCTGTAGTTAAGCCAGTTTTAAGACAGGGTGGCTGACATAAGGAATGAATTTTCTTGAGCAGTAGTGAAGGTCAGTGCTTTACAATAGTGAGGGGAATCGATTATGTCCTGAAAAGTAAAAAATTGGGTTTAAATTTTTACTTTCACTAACAGTAGATGTGCAAGGACAACCTTGAAGGATTAAATAGTCCATAGTTTATATTATGTTATATTAATATTTCAGAGTTACAAGTACATTTTGAAGTGAGGAAATTAAAAAAATTACTATCATAAACTTTATAATTTTATATTATTATAAACAATATTTAAGTTCATAACTAAAGTTCTTTTTTTTGGGGGGGGGGATTTCACAGAAAAAGCCCTTGTGGCAGAAAATCTTTTTATTGTAAATTTCTATGCGTAATTAATTTATGAAACTAATTTTAAGAGCTAATTCAAGAAATATTTTAATATACAATACTTTATTGGCCCAATTATAAGGCAATGTTTTTTGATTAATAATTAGGCTGTAAAATTCATAGTCGCTTGTAATCTTGGCCGACCACAGGCGCATGTGCGTCAGATGTTTGCTCCAGGTCATTGCTAATTCTTGCAACTACTCCGCCTGCAGGCTGTTCAGTTATAGTATTGATTTTGCTGACGTAAAAAAAAGACGTTACTACACTCAATTATTTTTCTTTCCCATTTTTTCTGAAAATGGGATCGCCTTATATTTGAGATCACCCTATAATCGGGCCAATACAGTAATTTTGAAAATGTTTAATTAACTGTAATATGAATTTTCTTAATGTGTATGTCAGAGTCCTTAATTTCTTTAGCTAATGTTTTTTATAAAACTTACTTAAAGAGTATAAATAAAAAATGTGCAATTTTATTATAAAACATTTTACACTATTGTTACGCATGTGATTATTTAGGTGACATTGTTCTGTTATATAATTTTTTTAACTATTGATATGAAACTATTAAAAGCTCTTTCTAATGATAATTTTGTTAAATGCTATCTGATTGACCAACAACTGTCTATAACTTGATTAATTTTATGCTCCCTTTATCTAAATTATACTATTTGAAATTTTGTCTTTTATGATGATAAGAAACATTAAATGAATAAATAGTATTTGTGTAAATTTTAAATCTCTCTACATTTGTTCATTTGTTCATTGTTCATTTGTTTAAATGCTGAAAGACAATGAATTTGGTAAAAAAGTACCAAAAATATTTAATATTTTATTAATTATATTTATTACAGAACAAGATGATTTCACCAAACTGTAAGAAGTATCTTATAGTTAGAAATATTATGATAAATAAGAAATTCCAACTTTATTATTTATATTTGCAGTTTTTGTAAATAAATGTTGTGTTTTTAGAGTTTTAAAAACAAATCCAAAAGGCGACAAATAAATTTAATTGTGAAATAATGTAAACTGTATCTAGGAAACCATGGACTCCCAACCAAGAGATGTCAAAATTCTGGAAACAGTCGAAGACATTCAAGAAAGAAGAGAACAAGTTTTGGGAAGATACGTTGAGTTCAAATCTGAAGCAAGAATTAAAAGAGAGAGACTTGAAGATTCACGCCGTTTCCAGTACTTCAAACGTGATGCTGATGAACTCGAGTCTTGGATAAATGAAAAACTTCAAGCAGCCTCAGATGAAAGCTACAAAGACCCAACAAATCTTCAGGTTTATAATTTTATCTTTTAATTCTACAGATGGCAACGTTGATGTCATAAAATTGCACCCTTAAGTGCTCTCTGGATTGTTACATACATGCACAAACACACACACACACACATATATATATTATGAAAACAAGCCTTAACAATTAATACAAAAAAGTTCTACACAAATTAAAAATGTCACCAGGGTACAGGCTAAAATGTGGGGTAACATGACATAATGTTTTGGGACAACATGGGACCTATTGGTCAATCTTGGCTGTCCCAAATGCAAAATTAAACTAAAACTGTTAATAAATAATTTTTTTTTTAATTCTTAAAGCTACCCCTTATCATTCATATATCTATCAAGCTTTCTCTTAAATTTGCTTAAATTTACTGCCCTACAACATCTGAAGGCAACCCATTCCAAAGGCCAACCACCCTTTTAGAAAAATAAAACTGTCTTAGCTGAAGATGACTCCTACTCTGCCAAAATTTATATCTGTGTCCCATAGTCCTACTATTCTCACTGTTAATTATGAAAAAAGATGATGCATCAACACTATTAAGTTCCCTTACAATTTAAACATCTCAGTTAGATCTCCTCTAACTCAGCATTTTTATTTTTATGTTAATATTTATTTAACTGTTGAATATTGTTTATATATATATATATATATATTTACACACACTTACAATCTGAGACTGGCAAGTTCATTGATGTAAAATTATTAACAGAAGTTTTTCTTATTAAACTAATATAAACATAGCTTGATTGTATATAACTATTAACTTACAGTACTTACATGTGCATAAGACATCCTAACAAAGTTAAGCTAATAAGATATCATAAAGAACCAGTGCTGGTAAACTTGTTAAGTGAGAATCTATCTATATGTATATTATATTTTAACCACAAGGTTCAGTAATCATTCCTTCCTGCTTTAACCAGAAAATAATTAACTGTATGAATTAATAGGATAATTAGTCTTTGTAATTACAGTAATGTTGAATAATTTATGCATTTTAACAAAAAAGATGTTTTAACCACTTAAAAATGGGAAAGTTGCTAGCATGTAACAAAATTTTCACTATATAAAAAGATCAGTACCTTATAAAGAGTTTTTATATCTAAATCATCTTACTGAGTTGTTCAGATAATAATTTGATTGCATTTTGTGTTATAGTATAAACTACATCGCATCGAATGAGAAAGCAAGTAATATGAAGTAACATCCTAAAGTTTCTTGTTTTTTTTATAGGCTAAGATACAAAAGCATCAAGCATTTGAAGCAGAAGTTTCAGCACATAGCAATGCCATTGTTGTCCTTGATAATACTGGAACAGACATGATTAATAAAAATCACTTTGCGTCAGATATAATAAAGGTATTTGTTATTTACGTACCTTAAAATGTTTTTGTCTCGATCACCAAATGATAATTGTTAAGTTATTGAGTCTTATGTACCATATAAACCTCACTATGAATATATTATATTTACTTTTAACCAACGTCTGTAAACTACATATACCTAACAGAACAGTTTTGGTTTGTGTTCAGCTTTTGTTAAAGACGTTTAGCATTAATTTAAACATTAATTTACCTTACTAAGATTAAATGATTTGCTACTAGTGGAAAGTGTACCTGGAAGTATTATATATTAATGTTCTTTGTCAAAAGTGATGATTCAGTTATTACAACACTGGGTAGGATATTAGAATATACACGTAATCCTACATAATGTACTTGTATATGACTAGACTATTTTACATGTGATAAATTAATATCATTTACTTCCTTATTAAAGCTTTAACATGGCTTCCTGTTTATCAAATTTGTTTCTTGTCTCTGTTGTTAAAGATATTTTCCCTGGAGCCACTAGTTATAAACCTTCAGAATAGTTCAGATCACTTCCTTATCATCCATATACATGTTTAGATCTGTGAATAAATACATTTTCCTGGCATAGTTTGGGTGTACTCATACCATTAGACGGCAAGGTCGATGCCAATCATTACTTAATGGTACTAAGTGATCATCTTCACCCCATGTTACAGCATTTCTGTCCTGCAGAAAGGGCTATCTTTCAAGATAAAAATGCCCCCTGTCCACAGAGCATGACTAGTCACCCAATGGTTTGAGGAGCATGACACTGACATTATTCGTATATCGTTGCCTTCTCAGTCACCAGATCTGAATCCAATTGAGCATGTATGAGATATTCCAGAACAATGCCCGAGATGGCGTTTTTCCACTTCCATCAACTAGGCACGTACAGATCGTACTGGCCACACGTAGTGGCCCAACACCCTATTAAGTGATTACATTGGTTTTTCCATTTGTTTGGCCACTACTTGTATGAAGTGTTATGGTTGTTTTCATGTTGTGTATTATGTTTTTGTCACATTATTTGACACTACATAAGTTCGGTTATAAATTGAGCTTATAAACTATCTTATCCATAGTGAAAAATAATGAAAAATTACATTTGTCTTAATATATAAAAACAACATTGTTTTTTAGGAGACAAGTAAGCTAGCAATTAAGGCAAATAAAAATATAGCGGAACCAAACAATTCAAGGAAAAATACACAAACAATGAACAAAATATTAACTACAAATAAATCTCTCCTCCTTTTTAAAAAATGTGATGGTAGCATTAACTTCTTATGTTTCCTAAGTTTTATTTTGTTATATAAAATTCTCTCTATACCAAAACTGGGAACAACAAACAGTTTAGGTACAGAAGCTTACAAAAGCTATTCTTTTCACATATCTTAGTCTGTCTAGTCTTCTCATCGCTCCAATTCTGGGTTGGCTTACTGAAACAGTTTACTATTTCTACATAGTATTAGGGAAACCAGTTAACCTTTGGTAGTCAACTCGGGAGGTAACATTCACTGTCCAACTTGAGTAGGAGCAAATCATTAGCAGGATCCATTGACTGATCAGGAACTGGAATGGGAACCATCTTAGTAATCGAAGGAATTCTCTGTCTCGTTACAAGTCTGCTGTAGTCAACATAACTTAACTGTATTGGATGCCACTGATCAGTATCACTATAGGTCCAACACTGTGAACCGCAGAAGTAAAGAAAACATGCTTTTTTTATATTAGAAGCATGAAATCAAGTTGTTCCATCTTTTAGTTCATTGGAGTTAAATCTCTTGTAATTTCAAAAGATCTGTTCTATCTTGGATCAAGTATTGATTGCAGTGAAATTATATGTTGCAGAAGATATAGAGTGAGTCTGTAGGAATACCATATCATTTATTTTGTAAGTCACTTTGCTTAGCTTATGGTTGTAGGCTCACTGTGCTTAGCTTACGATTGTCGGCTCACTGTTGTCTCACTGTGCTTAGCTTATAGTTGTAGGCTCACTGTGCTTAGCTTATGGGTGTAGGCTCACTGTTGCCTCACTGTGCTTAGCTTATGGTTGTCGGCTCACTGTTGTCTCACTGTGCTTAGCTTATAGTTGTAGGCTCACTGTGCTTAGCTTACGATTGTTGGCTCACTGTTGTCTCACTGTGCTTAGCTTATGGTTGTCGGCTCACTGTGCTTAGCTTATGGTTGTTGGCTCACTGTTGTCTCACTGTGCTTAGCTTATTGTTGTCGGCTCACTGTTGTCTCACTGTGCTTAGCTTCTGGTTGTCGGCTCACTGTTGTCTCACTGTGCTTAGCTTCTGGTTGTTGGCTCACTGTTGTCTCACTGTGCTTAGCTTATAGTTGTCGGCTCACTGTTTCTTGCATTCTGAAGAACTAGTTGCGACTCAGTATTCTCCTCTTCTCTAGTCTGAGGTTTAGCAGGATAGTCAGTCAGATGATCCCAGGAAAGGAAGATTTTATATTCTAGACACAGTTTGTGTAACTTGTAAACGTATGAACATGTGTTTTAATGACAAAAAGAAAACTCTGGTTTATGATTATCCTAATTTCAATGACTCTTATGAATGTAAATGTATTGTCTGTGGTTCTCTTTTCTTGTTCTGTCGTGTTATTCTGAGGATGGTATGGTGTTGTAAAAAGATGATTAATTTCCATGACTTTACAAGTTTTGGTCTTCACACGAGACACAAATTGGGGTATCTGATACAATAATCTGTGCAATACTCTACCTATAAATGAATTCGGTAACTGTTTCCTTCATAATCACTTGAGTGTTGACTTGTCTAACATTAAACTCGTTTGTTAAAATAATCTCTAATAACCAAAAAATAACTGTTCTCAGTATTATACTTAGGGTAAGGCCCCATAATGTCTACTCCATTATCTCATACGGTTCAATTATTTTAGTATTTTCCATAAATCCTGCAGCCTATTTTTTATTGAACGATATAGTTTGGTAAGCATAACATGATAACACATAGTTTTTAATATTTTGTCTCATACCATTCCAAATTTAGTATCTTACTTTCAACATTTTAAATGTATAAATGTGTAATTACATATGCATATTTCAAGACATTAATGTAACGAGTTTGAATCATTGTTCAAAGTAGTTCAAATTTATCAATGTTATGGCCTGTTTCAATAATCTTTGTAATTAACTTTCTTGAATGTGTGACTCAAAAACTGAAAATTTAAGAATTTAGAACTTTTAGATAACTTGCAGTGTATCAATTTCCTCTCTGTAATAATTTAAATTTTATTTAAAAAATTGGTTTCAAGGTTGAGAAAATTTATTGTTCATTTGAAGCCTTATGGGAAATATTTTGAGATATTTTCTTGCAGTTACATAAGTAAACATAAAAGTTGGTGGTTAATCAAAAATAGCTCTTAATTTTATATTTTTGTTCAATAAGTTAAGTAGACTTGCATTCAAGGCTTTAAACAATTATTTCTTCTTTACATGAAAGTTAAATTATTCATTTGTGTCACAGCTACGTTTGGAAGAATTGCATCGACTCTGGGAACTTCTCTTGTCTCGCCTTGCTGATAAAGGCATTAAGCTCCAGCAAGCTTTGAAGCTTGTTCAGTTTCTTCGACAGTGTGAGGAAGTTATGTTTTGGATTAACGATAAAGTAGGTGATCACAAATTTTGATCTTCTGTAGAATTGAAGTATGGAATTTATTTTGTTGGGATAAACAATTAATGTACTGCTAGCTATTTGATTTTATGTATTTTAGTGAAGAAATTGAGGAGTTGTGTGCTGGGCTTATGACAAGTCCTAATACTTTTACTTTTGAAGACATTGAATGGTAAATTTATTACAGTTAAACAGTCTTAGCACTCAAAGCTTATCATACAATGAGTCAAAATGCAATTATGTAGTCTGAGTGGAAATCCAGCACATTCGTTTACAAAAACAAATTTAAAAATAGTTTTGAAAATGTTAGTTATTATAAACTGATTTCCTAGAATATTAAGAAAGAACATGTAAGAATATATTGGTTTTCTTTTGTGGTTTGTATCCAATCATTGGAGCTCTGAAGTTACCCACCTCATTAAATTTAAAAGTTAACTAAATTTTAAAAGTGATAAATACTTTTTTTTAAACATTATAACTAGTGTTTGGTATATAATGCCAAAGCTTTAGAAATTTTCACTCTTTTTGGTTATGTAATCAATCAAGATGTATGCTGTTCTACCAGGTTTTGAAGAGGACTAGAAACTGAAAAAACACTAACATTTTTCATGAAATTCCCTGTTGATTTCAGTATTTTAAGGTGCTGACCTTTACCACTGCCAATAGCAATAAATTATTCCATAAGCTAATCACCCTGTTTAAATGACAAAACGTTCTTAGTAGACCCTACAGCTAAACTTTGTTTTCCAAATCATAAACTTGTATTCTCTCATCTTCATGTCCCCCAGTGGCACATAGTATTCCTGTGGACTTACGAAGCTAGAAACTGGGATTCGATACCCATGGTGGACAGTCAACAGATAGCCCAATGTGTAGCTTTGTGCTTAAACTACGAACAAACATCATTCAACACAAGAATTCAGAGACCAAAAATCTTGTTGATTCCCCTGATAGTCTTGAAATGTATAGTTATTTAAAATTTTACATTACAGACTTAAGGTAAACAAAAACAGTTGCATGTTTCTCAGATATTTCATTTATTAATCCAATGGGCATCGTCTAAGCAAAACCATGGTAGTAATAAACAAATACTTGTGAAACGTACAGTTGTTCTTGTTTTCTTCAATTCTGTATTATGGAGTTTCATCAAGTACAACTGTTTCAAGTATTAATCACTTTACATTATAGTTGGTTCAAATTTTTATATGTACGTGTGTGAATATATATATATTTATTTATTTCTTTATTTATTTGCTCCAGGAAACTTTTGTCACAACAGAAGAATTTGGACAAGATTTAGAGCATGTGGAAGTCTTACAAAGAAAATTTGACGAGTTTCAGAAGGTGAGTAAGGTGATAAGTACGTCTGGGTAGAAGCTTATACAAATTTCAAATTTATTATTAACTTACAACCATAAAGTGCTTTATACTGTGATACGTAGGTAGACTTGGCTTTTTTAATAATATGTATTTTGATTTTAAATTTGTATATTACAATATAATTAAACCTATCATTTTTGTTTCTGTTGCCAGTGATCATTGTGACTTGTATACTTTGACCTTTACAGGACATGGCCAATGAAGAATTTAGAGTAACAGAGGTTAATGAACTTGGAAACAAACTAATTAATGAGGGACATCCAGAAGTGGAAGGTATTCAAAAGAAAAAAGAGGTGAGATGAAATTTTTATGGCTATAACCATGCTGAATGTATGAAAACCTTTAGGAAATAATAACTTATTACTAGGATTTCTGTTCTGGTATAGCCTGTACAGCCATGCAACTTAGGCTTAAGTTACTTTGTCGCAAGATTCAATAGTTTTTTATTTATTTGAAATAACTTGTAATTAATCATTTTGTATTGTTTAAAATCCAACAGCATTACTTTTTCTCATCTGAAATGAGAATATAATATATGACATTCAATCTATGAAATTTCAAACAACCATGCAAGTCTTGTCTTTCTCTATCTTTTTCTAATCTTTTGAAATAAACGACAGGCTTAGATGTATCCTACTTACAAAATTAAATGTTGCTTTCTTGTGTCTACAGTCATTGTTATTTTAAAAATAGTATAATTTGACAAGTGAATATCATTGAAGATTCACTTTTCCAGGAAAACAAACGGAACTTGTCAATTTGTAAAAATGTTTATAATAATTAATTCTTAAGCTTAAAAAGTAATATGGAAATATTTTTGCTCAATTTAATTAATCGTGAAATTAGTACTTTGCTAATTTAGTCTGAAACTCAAGAAAATATTGTTTCTGCATTAACCCCCCCCCAAAAAAAAATTGTCCCTCAGTACCTGTAACAAATTTATCTTGCTTTTCTTTAGACTGTGTTTTATTTTCTTGTATTTTTTGTTATATACTTCTTATTAGGAACTGAATGAAGCATGGGAGAGACTGAAAGCCTTGACTTTATTGAGACAAGAAAAACTATTTGGTGCTCATGAAATTCAACGTTTTAATAGGTATGAATATATTAATTATAGCTTTATAAAGTTAAATCTTTTAAACTATTTGGTATAAATAATAGTAGACCCAGTCCATGTAATAACAACGAGTTGATTTATTTCTTCCTTAATGATTGTTACAAGCTACTTTCACTTGTAGTTGTAGGCCTAATTGCACAACACGTTTCAACAGAAATTCTGAGGTCAATGATTCTAACGCTTAAATTAACTTTCTTACAGGACTTCATTACTAATCTTTAATGAAATCTCATTGAACTATGTACAACTTTTCTGACATTTAACTCATAAACTCACTGAATTCTCATTCAGTGATCATTGATATTTCATTCATTACTCATTGAATACTTCACATTAATTCATATTTATGAAAAATATATCCTTGTCTCTAGATATTACAAGAAGCTTCTCAATTATTACAATATCAAGCACCCTCTAGAAAACAATTATATTATAACAACAGTATTTTAACATTACATTGGCAATAGCCATAAACTTTTTAATGTTATTCAGTTCTGATCTTTAAGTTCTCCGGGAAGACAATTCTAAAACTATATTTTCAAAACACAAAGTTAGGGTTAACATGTTAATAAGTTTTTAAGTGAATGTAATAATGTGGACTTTATTTTTACTTGTTATATTACGTGATGGTAGTTTTACTGTTAGTTTTACAGTAGTTGTCTTCATGTTGTTACCCTGTACTTCTCTGCATACAGAATTAAAAATGCTTAATTTTGTTTTTTAATAGCGATGTTATAATCTGCTCTCTAATACTTTTTTCAGAGATGCTGATGAAACAATTGCGTGGATATCTGAGAAAGATCTTGTTCTTTCTTCTGATGATTATGGCAAGGATCTTGTTAGTGTTCAGGCTCTCCAGAGAAAACATGAAGGAATGGAAAGAGACTTAGCTGCTTTAGAAGACAAGGTAATTGTGAAACATAATATTTTATTAATTGTATGTAGTTGGCTTACTCACAAAGTAAGTATTAACCCATTAACTGCGGATGATGGATATTTCCATCATTGAAGTTCTATGGCTCAGCTGCGAATGACGGAAATATCCATCAGTCGCACGTATATAACTATAACTCTATACGAATGACGAAAATTACCGTTTTATTGTGATTGATGACAACTCAGTTTTATCTGTGAGTCAGAAAATGGTAACTGAGCTGCTCCTGCCGCAGTTAATTGGTTAATTTAGAAAATGTTTACATTTGTATTTTCTAGAATTGGTAATTAGATGTCTTATCTTTGATTTATCATAAAATAATTTCAAGAACTTATGAATAATAATATTCAATTAATTTTGCTGCTGTATCTTAAAAAGGCTTAGTTGTCTTTCTTTAGACTAATATTTACTTAGTAAAAAGTTTTTAACTATAAAACAAATGAAAAATATATATTTATAGACAGCTTGAAATACTTACGTGTCCTTGGTGAGTTAGAGTTGCACACTGGTGAGTCATTTTTCATCAAAGGATATTTAAAAATCCTAGGTCAAATTCTGCTCTGTTTGTTTGCTTAAAAAGTTAGATTGGTAGCCACCTATTCCATATATGTTGTAGATCACTGCCACAAGAAATTTCCTGTAATATTTAGCTGACTCTTACAGTTATCTAATACCAGATATGCAGAATTGAATAAACTTACTCATGACTACTACACCCATAACCCAACCACGAGCTGGGTGCCTATTCTCACCCCTCTTCCTTGCTATTAAATCTAGATGTGTCTTGACCAAACATGAACTACTCTGCTTCACCACCAAAACTACCACATGCAGTTCTGGTCGGGCTGAAGTAACAAACGGAGAAAGTAAACATGTATCCATACCATGAATTTAATTCTGTTACGTTTGAACAATGAAAGAAATACATAAAAAATTAATTAACATATGGTATTATACGTGAAGGAATTTATAAACTGTGACTGTGCAGTAATGTCATGTTTATTAAAGATTACTGGCTAGTTTGCGATTAACAAATATTTACAACCCTGTTTGTAGGAACAAAGGTTACATCCTCATTTGTTAAACAACTACACGTGAGCCATGAAAAAACAACTAATTTTTAGTTAAATATAACAAAAGGTCAATCAGTTTTATTTTTTCTGGCATTATTTACACTTTATAAAGAGCTCTTGTTATCACAAAGAGAGAAATAAATTTGATTTTAAGAAAGGTAAAACAAAATGTTTGTCCAAATCCCACTAGACATAATAAATGTGTTTTCCAGAGGTGTTCTCGTTTAGTTCTTTTCTATGTCACTGAATATTTTTGTTACAATGACTGGGGTCCAAAGTCATAGCTTACAACAGTGATTCACTTTGTCCTGGTCAAGATTACATTTCTGAAGCCCCATGCGTAAAGTTTTGCTTTTTGCTCCATGAAGGCTGAAAAATATTTACTTATAATGTATGTGTGTTACACACAATGCTATGAATCTTTTGTTCTCAACATCTTTTAAATCAACAGCCTTTTACTTGTGTGTGTGTTTACATTTTATTCATACAAGAAAACTGTAAACAATTGAGGCATCTCGGAGAAAAGCTATTGTTTTGTTTAGTAAAACAAACAGTTATGGGAGAAGGAGAAATTAAATTATAAACTATTTGAAACATGTTTTTATAGAACCATTATAGTGATTATTAGCTTTCTTTATTAGGCTTTTAGTGTAGTTTATTAGATGTTAAATTGATCACTGTGCAGTATGTCACTTATTTTCTTGTAGGTTCTAACATTAGGACAAGAAGCTGATAGATTGTGTAACAGTCACAAGGACCATGCTGATGAGATTCAGTCCAAACATGCTGAAATTGTTTCAAACTGGGAGGAGCTTAAAACCAAGGTATGGTAAAGGTTATATTAAGACGAATCCCCTGGTGGGTCAGTGGTAAGTCTATGGACTTAAAATACAAAGTTAAATTTAATTAGGGTGTTTCCTGTAAAATAAACATTCTAAACTTTGAAGATCAATAAGTAAAGAACAAAAGTGTAAGGTTATTGTTGTAAATTCTTCTCAATCAAGATTGTGATTACAATGTTAAAGTGAAAGGTTTTCTACTTAAAAAGTAAGAGAATAAATTGAATGACTTCACATGATGACAGTATTGATTCAAACTAACACTACTGGCAAGAGTATATATGTATGAGCATATCAAAGAACTTACAATATTCAAGTGCACATTTATTTATATATTAAGTAGCACACACGGACACCAAACTCTATATTTGTTTATATTTTAAGTAGTAAATATGGATATAAAACCTTGATAATATTCAGACATTAATTAGTATATACAAACATCAAACTGTACACATATTCAAATACTAAGTAGTGAATATCAACATATACTGTTGATTTATCCAAATTTTGAGTAGTAGATTTTGACATCATTCAGATTTAAGTAGTCAATATGGAGCTCACACTGTTCATTTAATCATGTTTCATCTCACCTCACAAACGAGAGTAGAGGTTTCACTGTTTTTCATTATTTGACTACGTTTTACTTGATTTAATTTTCTTTTTTTTTCCCCTGAATAGAACATATTTGTAGGGAAAAGCTCTTGTGTTTTCGTGGCTTAGCCATTACTAGCGAAGTAAAATTGTTATTTTTTATTACATGATAACTTAATGTTGATGTTTAAGAAAGAAAGAAAGGATTAGATGATAAACTGGCAGAAATGGGAATGTTGGGGGTGGATGACAGGGGTGTCCTTCCAAAATATTTATTAAAAACTCTCTTCAATTATCTATTCATAAAACATCACTTCGGACTAAAATCAAGTTTATGAAAACAGTTCTTGAAATTCTTTAATTCCGTGTTTTGTCATTCAGTTATGAACAACTAGGGTTCAAACGCATTGTTCACTGGAGGAGGAGTTTAAGTTATGCAGTTTTAGGGTTATGCCTTAAAGTTTTTCTGTGGTACTTATGCCTTTCATATCAACTAGTCTTCTGGGAAACTTCAAATCTTTATAACATGTTTTTTTTTTACTTAAATATACAACCTATTGTTTTCATTAATTGGAATAACTGGTACATTAAATATTTTTTAAACTCAGACTGGAGGTTGAAATATGAAGTTTTTGTATTTTAAAGACATTTCAAACAAAATTTTCAATTACTTAGAACATTTCTTATATCCGATGACAAGGAACCCACTTTGAGACTAATAACGGTTGGAGACGGTTTGAATGGGTAATGAAGAAAAACTGATGATGACAAAATCTTGTCGAAACGTTGTACATTTGCTGTTATGTTAAACTTATACTAAAGTTTTTCTTCATTACCCATTCAAGCCATCTCCAACCATTATTTGCTGTATATATGGTAGAAAAGCTAGGGTTAAGAACCTAAAAATTTGTATTTAAAAAAACTAATTAAAACTTAGTTTTAACGTTCCAAAAACTCCTAAATAGTGATGATATTCGTTGGCCATGGAAGATAACTTCTGTTTGCTTAAGATCTGGCAATGATAATAAAATTATGGTTTGAAATGTAAGCTCGTTTAATGTATAATCTGATTTTTGTTTTGTCTTCAGGCTCAAGAACGTCGTAGATGTTTAGACGAGTCCTATAATCTGCATTACTTCTTAGCTGACTTCAGGGACTTGATTTCATGGATCAATGACATGAAGTCAATAATATCTGCAGATGAACTGGCTAAAGACGTGGCAGGAGCAGAGGCTCTGTTGGAACGTCATCAAGAACACAAGGTATAAATACGATAATTTTTTTAGATGATAACAGTAAGGTTTAGTAAAAGAAGGTTGGTGGGGTAATTGTCATGTGGATTTATTTTTTATTAATACAAACTAAAGACTTATGGCCTCTTTATATATTTGTTTCCAAGAGATTACTAAAAAAAAAGAATATATTCCGGTTCTTTGGAAAAGCAGTATTTATTAAAAGTTTTCTGAGCAATTTTTAATTTGAGTGATATTATATTTTCTGTTGAATTATCAGGGTGAAATTGATGCCCGTGAAGACAGTTTTCATGCCACAGCTGAGGCGGGACAGAGACTGTTAAATGAAAACCACTCGGCCTCAGAAGAAGTGAAAGAAAAGGTAGATGGAGTGTTAATAATTTATTTTTCACCTTGAAATTTTCTGGGTGATTGTAGACAATGTATTTTATTTGGCAGTAGTGAACATTGTTATTTCCTAGATACTACAGTTAAATTTTGTTTATTTTTAAAGTGCATTTATGATGTTTTTACTAAATATTGTGACCTGGAATGGATTAAGCTACATGTACATGTAGGGCTTGGTAAAAATCACATTAAATATTCTAATCCAATATGAAATAGATCAATCAGTTCTAGAATATATTAATATGTATTATTAAGATCCATCTTTATCTTAGTTTGAATAATGCTAGATTATTTTCAGAATATGTAAAGATCGTGATAAAGTAAATCAGACCTCAGTGAGATAATTTGAGCTGGATTAGATTCATTTTAAGTTTACATAAAGCCATAGTGGATTAAGATTTACAGTAGATGTGGAGCATGTTAGGTTGAGATCAAGCCGGATATGGTATTTTCTGTTAATTGAACCAGCTTAAGGATTTTTATTTATCAAATTTTGATATACTAGTTATCCATGAGTAAAGCTTGAAGCATTTTTTTTTTATATATTTCTGTGATAACAAATATTGTACAAACATTTTGTTGAACTCTTGAATTTTCGTAGTTTGTTATTTTCGTTTTTCAGCTTTTGTGATAGTTTGTTGCAAATGAGTTGAGGAATTGCTTGGTATGGGTGACTTTAATTTTTAGTCATACTCTTAGTTTGTTGAAAGCTAAAATGAACAATCTAAAAGTCGGGTGCATTTTTAACATCGGTGCAATGCACTGAGGGGGCCCTTCTTATCGTGGGCCTCTTAGTAATATAACAAATTACAGACTGTAAGATGTTTCATCAAAATTGTTTTTTTTTATATATTTACATATATACTGTATATAGGAAAACTATTTATTTATTGTATTTTAATATGAAAATAAATTAAAATTTTTATAGCCGATCAATACTAATGCTCCCCCCCTTACGAAAATTGCACCGAGTACTTTGAAGTCTTAAAAACGCCCCTGCTAAAAGTGTGTATTGATCTTTTGTGTTTAATTGTTCTAACAGATGGCTTATTATCCAATTAGTTGTGTGTTTTCTCTAACAGTGTGAAATTAATGAACTGAACCTATCTTTTATTCAAGAATTTATTATTAAATAGTTTGAAAGAGACTTTTACAATTTTTTGGCAGCTTGTAACCTTAGCCAATGAGAAGCAGCTCCTTCTTTCTTTGTGGGAAGAACGTCGAATATTGTATGAACAGTGTATGGATCTCCAACTGTTTTATCGTGATACTGAACAGGCTGATACTTGGATGGCCAAACAAAATGTACGTTATGTGTGTAAACTTGAGTTAATCCTTTCTTAAACTTTTTCAACCATTATAAGTATATTATGCAAAAGGATTTCATCGGTACTTAAATAGTTATGATACATAATTACCTTAACTGTTTTATCGTGATACTGAACAGGCTGATACTTGGATGGCCAAACAAAATGTACGTTATGTGTATAAATCCTTTCTTAAACTTTTTCAACCATTATAAGTATATTATGCAAAAGGATTTCAACGGTACTTAAGTAGTTATTACCTTAAAGATAATTACGGTCTGTCGTTAGAATTACTTTCATGGAATAGTTATTATGGGATATTCATGTTTGAGAAGAGTTTGATTAATGCACTCCGGAGTAGAATGTTTGGTTAATGCAGATGTTTTTGTATGTATCTAATAGATCTGATACAGAGAATTGGAATTGTATGTGTTCGCTATAAAATTCTTGAACATTGAATGATAAATTTGTAGTCGTGTAATATTTAATTATTATTTAGGTTGGGTGAAAGAAAAAGGTGGATTATAAAATAAACCCCATTAGGACACTCGCTAAATGTATCTGAGCTGCATTGGTCCCACAAATTTCGAACAATAATGCCCCCGCCATCTTGAGGGAGGGACCAGGAAGACAACGTTAAATGACAGATTTAGATTTGGTGACCCTGAATACCTATTCCTAGATCCCCATCATGTTTGGGTAACCTTCCAGGCATGTTTTAGCTTCCTCAGAGGGGTCTTTACCTCAAAATAATTCTTATTAGGACACTTTCCCTTAGTTCTTGAGCATATGCACCAGCTAGGTTTGGTCCCACTAGCTTGTGAGTAGAAGTATTTACATAGTTTCAAACCTACCTAAGGGATCTAGAAATACAAAATCTGATGTCAAGATTAGGGCCCAACAACTTTGGACATCTACTCCTAGACCTCTATCATGCCTAATTGTCCCCTAAAGCATGTTTTAGTGTGTGTGTGTGTGGGGGGGGGGGCTGTATGCCATATAGATAAGGCCACTACAAGTCTACTAAAGGCCAAATTTGGTCCTACTGTCTCCAAAATTGTGAGAATAGTTTGTAGACAACCAAGGAAAATTCACAAAATGCACCCAATGTTTTTTTTAGTTGATTATAACTGTAATGAAAATAATGAAAAGGTCTATTAAGGAAAATTAATTATATTCATTCATAATAACTGTAACTAAAAAAATACCCTAAAACAGTGCCACAAACAAATTTCATTGTACTAAATTAACAGTTCTTATTTGGAGTTTAATGTTTATTTCCTAATAAGAAAACTATACAATGAAGTTAACAGTGCCACAAACAAATTTCATTGTACTAAATTAACAGTTCTTATTTGGAGTTAAATGTTTATTTCCTAATAAGAAAACCATACAATGAAATTTGTTTGTGGCACTGTTAACTTCATTGTATGGTTTTCTTATTATGGCACTGTTAACTTCATTATATGGTTTTCTTATTATGGCACTGTTAACTTCATTATATGGTTTTCTTATTATGGCACCGTTAACTTCATTATATGGTTTTTTTATTATGGTACTGTTAACTTCATTGTATGGTTTTCTTATTATGGCACTGTTAACTTCATTATATGGTTTTTTTATTATGGTACTGCTAACTTCATTGTATGGTTTTCTTATTATGGCACTGTTAACTTCATTATATGGTTTTCTTATTAGGAAATAAACATTTAACTCCAAATAAGAACTGTTAATTTAGTACAATGAAATTTGTTTGTGGCACTGTTAACTTCATTGTATAGTTTTCTTATTATGGCACTGTTAACTTCATTGTATGGTTTTCTTTTTATGGCACTGTTAACTTCATTATATGGTTTTCTTATTATGGCACTGTTAACTTCATTATATGGTTTTCTTATTATGGCACTGTTAACTTCATTATATGGTTTTCTTATTATGGCACTGTTAACTTCATTATATGGTTTTCTTATTATGGCACCGTTAACTTCATTATATGGTTTTCTTATTATGGCACTGTTAACTTCATTATATGGTTTTCTTATTATGGCACTGTTAACTTCATTGTATGTTTTCTTATTATGGCACTGTTAACTTCATTGTATGGTTTTCTTATTATGGCACTGTTAACTTCATTGTATGGTTTTCTTATTATGGCACCATTAACTTCAGTATATGGTTTTCTTATTATGGCACCGTTAACTTCATTATATGGTGTTTTTATTATGGCACTGTTGACTTCATTATATGTTTTTTTATTATGGCACTGTTAACTTCATTATATGGTTTTCTTATTAGGAAATAAACATAAATCGAGAGTGGTAGTAAATGTTTTATGAATGTGGTCCTGTGTTTTTTTTTTCCAAAAAGACAGGTAAAAGACAGGCTGAAATAAAGTAATTATTTGTTATTACTTTTTTGTTACAGTATACAGAATCAATTTTACTAACATATAAGTGTGTGGAAAGGTATAGCAAGGCTTGGCAAGTAAATGGTAATTTCGAGTACATTTTTGTGGCTGCTTAGCCTAAGGAAAGTACTGTAAAGCCCTGCATTACCCGAGTTATTTTTACCTCGACACATTTCAAGGTCATCATCACTTTGTTTCCTGTAATAATAGCTAAGATTATATTCAGTTAACTGTAATAATAGATATAACTGAAGTTAAACTAATAACTCTAACTAAACAAATGCTGTACAAAACGTGAACTAATATAGGATTTTTTTATTTCAGGCATTTTTAGAAAATGAAGATTTGGGTGATTCCTTAGATTCTGTAGAAGCACTGATTAAGAAACATGAAGATTTCGAGAAATCACTAGCAGCTCAGGAAGAGAAGATCAAAGTATGTATTTAGATTATATATATATGAGCATCTCATTGCTAGAGATGTCACGTTTAAGTTAACCCGAACCAAACATTAGATTAACTTGTGATTAGATCAGATTATTAGGTTAGGATGTAATCAAACAAGAGAAAACTGAAAATTGCTCCTGCCATATCAGTTATTTTGTGCCTACCCATTTTTAATTTTTGCGAAACAAATGTTTTAATTACTTTTTAGCTTTTGTTAGAGTTCATCTTTAATATAATTTTACTCTATAATTATAGTCAGGAGCACATAATGATTTTTCAATAGCAAGCAGAAAAGTTTTTTTTTGAATTTAATTACATTATACTATTGTTTGATATTCTCCAAACCAGATGCATATAAAATTAGCTAGTTAATTATTCTCAGTTGAAAAGTTTCCTTTTAATTTGGGCAAAGATTTTTCTTGAACTGAAATTAGCTCTAGTGTTTATGGGAAAGTGTATATGTATATATATATGACTGCATGTGAACATTACTTTTTTTTAAGTTTTTTTTTGTTGTTGTTGTTGGTTAAAATATGCAGTATTTTAAGTTTGTAATAAATTTTGGTGTTTTTAAATAACTAATTATATTTATATTTACAGGCTTTCGATGAATTTGCTACTAAGTTAATAGAAGGGCAACATTTTATATTTACAGGCTTTCGATGAATTTGCTACTATGTTAATAGAAGGGCAACATTTTATATTTACAGGCTCTCGATGAATTTGCTACTAAGTTAATAGAAGGGCAACATTATGCTGCTGATGATGTAGCTCAAAGAAGAGCAGCTGTAAGTGAAACTGGTTTACAGTTCAGTTACTTTCAGTTTTTTTTTTTTTGCGGTTTAATATAAAAGCTATATAAACATCATTTCCTTACATGATTTAAACACTTGTATTAGCAAATGTTTATAAAATAGCTATTAATAAAACTTAAAAAACTTGAGAATTAAGTTTCTGAAATATGATTTGTCTTATGTTCTTTATATTTATAAAATGTCAAGAAAAGTATAGTTTTTTTCAAGTGTAAATTTTGTTTATCTTCTATTTTACAGTTATTTTAAATTTACCAACATAATTCCTGCATAATTTATTTATATCTTTGTAATTTTAGTTGCTTGAAGGTCGGCAAGCACTCCAGGATAAGTGGCATTATCGACGTACGATGTTAGAAGATTCTTACCGTCTCCAACAGTTTGAACGAGATTGTGATGAAACAAAAGGATGGATCAGTGAGAAACTGAAAACAGCAATGGATGACAGCTATTTGGTAAACTATATTTTCTCAGTAAACCAGTTCATATTTAAAATTTTAATTTTTACTAAGTTTTGCAATTACCCAGCAGACGTATTTCCTCTTTTTTTCAGTAAGCTTCACACATACACATAGTATTACTATTGAATGATAGCTTTTATTAATTTTTTTCACTATTGTTCTCTCTTATATTTAAAACTCTGCTAACAGGTACTCAAGAATATTTTAACAAGAACCCATTTTCATTAACAGTTGCTTTTCCCTTTACTCTACTGATGAAAATAGCTATGTTTGTCTGATTTTAAATATCACAGGAGTAGTTTCAGTGTTACATAGATACATTTTACCAATATGGAAAGCAGCTCTCCAGTAAACTATGTTAATAGAACATTCACAAACTTTACAGTAATATAGATACAGAGATAAGTAACTTGACCTGTAAAGAATAAGCTATTGGCTTGTAATTTTTATCAGATTTCGTAGTATACACTCCCAAAATACTGGCAGTATTTTATGGAAATAATAGTCTATCTTTACATAGAGGAGCTTTAAATTTTGTTTTACATTTAACTAAGCATAATAGAATAGTGGAAATATAAAATGTGTAAAAATGAACTGCACCAGACTTTAGTCACATGTTCATAATTGACACTATGATTGGCTATCATTCAACCAATCAGATGATGCCATATTAGCATAACACCTATAAAAGTTCAGGCAGCCATACAATTTCCAACAATAGTGTCTGGAGGCACTTATGTCTCACAGGACAGAAATACCACATGACAAACATGTAGGAATCAAAGTTTTGGCTGGTGAAAGGTACTCATTGCAATAGATTGAGGCAAAATATTATATTTCAGTAAGAACTGTATGGAAACTGAAGAGAGGATGTGTAGATAATAGAAGTTGAGGTAGAAAGTCCAAACACTTCAAATAACTCAAGAGATGCTCTTTACACGATACACAGAAATCTTGCAAATGATCTAACTGTAAGTATAGGTGCGAGTGTTAATTTAAGAACAGTAAAATACATATTAGTGTGAAGTTGTCTCAAACATCACCGCTCAGGAGAGGTAACCAAACCAAAAAGTTGAAATAGGTATCATATTTCAAACAATAGGATGCTGTGTACAGATAAACCCAAGTTCAAATTGTGTTGTAAACCAAGAACAGTTTTGAAATGGTGTATTTAAGTGTTCTACACTCACAAAAAAAATAAACCTATCATTCTATTGGTATTTGAAGAACTTGTAGCATTCTGCCACAATTTAATTCTCTGTATTGTTAGCCAACACTAGGCATCTGATACATAGTTGAATAGAGTTGTTTAAACATTTGTTTAACAACAAGTAAAAGCTTGGAATGGTA